GAGACAAGTGTAGGATTTTTCATATACGAGTGTGTGGGAAAAATCCCATACGAGTGCAGCAGATTTTCTTGACAGGTGTGGGATTTTTCCCGTACGAATTTTTAAAAGGAAAAACAATATTTTTGGGGCTGTGGACTCGGATCCTACTCTTACTGCACCCTCACTCCTCGTAATTTACATTTAAGTTCACAATTCTATTTACTAAATACTTTACCGGACGCGGAGTTGAACCTCGGACATCTGGGTTGCGATGCTGCCACGCTGACCACTAGACCACGGGGACTTGTTGGGAGAGAGGCCGTAGCGTCCACGGGTCATCCCAGAGCCGCGCGACCGGCCCCACCCGGCCATTATTAGAGGCCAGCTGCGGGCGGCGGCCACCTGCCCTTTGCGTAAGGGATTTCTAAATGCATGTTTTGATTTCGGGAATGATATTAAACTCTGTGCCCTAATATTTTGATATATTTCATTTCTCTTGAGCTGAATAATTGTACCCAAGCAGCAGGACTGATGTGTCCAAAAATCATGAACTGTAATTTTACTATTGCGTTGTCGGAAATTTTCAAGATAAAAATAGCAAAATTCCCACTCTTGTATGTGGTCGAAAGTGGTCGCTTAGTTTTGTAATTGCGACTGATACTTTCCGAAACTGGCACTTTCTCAAAATATTCCCCTTATATTATTGTACTTTGTGCGTCATTAAATAAAGCATTCCAGTAACGATGAAATGCAGAAGAATGCAAGGAACAAGAAAACGCCCATGAAGTCCCATGAAAAAACACAGTGGTTTCCGTTTTCTTCTTCGTCGCTTTCTTCTGCATTTTAAATTTACCGCAATGCTTTACTCATTACCGTCGTACTTAGAATTTTGAGCCCCATTTCTCGTTCAAAGGAACAAAAAGGGCTTAAAACTAGAAATGGGGCTTAAAATTAAAAGTACGATACTTGAATTGAGAACAAATATTTCTGGGTGTATCTTACTCAACTGCGAAATTCTGAGAGACAACTAGTTCTGAGAGTGCACTTATTACAGGCTGCATATTCAATCCGCAACATTTCCAGTTCCTGGATGCAGCCAAAAGGACTACCAGTTATGTATTATGGTAAGTGGAGAATTGATACCAGGGTAGTGGATCCGGTGGACAAGAAAATTCTAGGCTGCTTGCGAATTTATGCAAGTATAGTACCACTTATAAATCGACCAGGGAAACGGTAAAATTACTTGCAAAAGCTGTACAATTTCACTTATACAGCTATTAAAAATCTAATCATGCTAATTTGCTGAGTGAAATGAAGCCTACAACCTACTACACGGGCCTAGAAAACGTAACATTGATTGTTTGTTTAATTAAGTTTATTTTAGATTGCCAAAATGTGACCTGCACTTTCTGACACGAGTGCTTGGCTACTAGGTCAGCCGACAGCTCAGTCTTTTCCGAAAATATGTCAGAGTGGCATGACTATTTTGATGAACTTTAAAGGGCACCAGAGGTGTAAAATCTCACAATAGTTCATCAGGGTTGGAAGCACATCATTTATTGATTTAAAAAAAACAAGAAACAGATAATATAAAAGGCGATAAAATAAGCTGTTTGTCATGAGTGGGAGAATAATGTTAAACAAACACATCGTACTAACAACTCACTAAAACTCAGCTCCTACAGCCAAAACATATGTAAAGAAGGTCCGCAGATATTTAGGGAGGCACAGCGCCTACCGTATAGGCAACCCACACTACATTTGTATTCGCGGCGGAACAGTAGACCACCCAACCGACCCGCGGACGGTCCATTGACAAAACTTCAAGATGCGCAATATTCCCATGGGACAGACCTCTAGGGTGAAGCGGGAAGGGAGAGGAAACTAGCTGGGCACGCCGCAATCTATGACGCGCAAGGGCCTCGCTACACTTTCAGGCCCTCCCATACAACACGAGCAATAAACAAGCGCTACAGGAAATATAACTAAATGGAACCACCCGCGGAGCCAGGCCGCGGTCAAAAGATAAATCAAAATCTAGAGAATTTAACGAGAAGTAAAGCACCGAGGTTACAAGAAGCTTGGCTAGATAGCAAATACCAGCGTACAGAGCCGACCGGGTGCGCCGCGATCTACGACGCACAAGGGGCCTCGCCGACCCTACGCATGGTGTGACAGAAGTCATGTCACGGCCAACACTGGCTCAAAACACTAACAAAGCCAAGCAATGGAGAAAGATAAGAGCGTAGCCAGCCCAGCCCCAGCGGGGCGGGCGGTGCATACGGCTACGTCATGTGGCCGCTGGTGACGTCACGATGGACCGTCGGTGGAATCCGAGGCGCCCTTGTCAGATCCTGGGCACATAAATGGACAACATTCGGGCCAAATATTAAGTCGATAGCTCCAAAACTACGGCCTGGAGGTTGCACACCGCTTGCAAAAAGTCATTTTGTGAAAACGAGTTCAAAGTTTTCAGCGCCTCTGTATAGCGACTAACCAGAAGCCAGGGCAACTTACTGAACTGGTCCTAAAAGATTCCGGGGCTCTAGAGAACTTCTTTCTCGTCGTGTATCCTGTCTTGAGCGGCCAGGCGAGCCCTGGCGGTCCAGCCACCCGGCTACCAGCTGGGCTCTCCTGAGCGAAATTTTTCGAATTTCAACATCCGCTTTGCGGCATAATAAAGAGGAAAGATCAAATAATTTTTTGAGGCATTACAAAATAATTGAATTTATTGATGAGTTTTACAGGTCTGCCCCCTTAAAAATAATTACTATTTACAAGACCGTCAGTCAAAACCCACGGTTGAAAAAAGCAAGGAATTAGCCCCTAGATATCAATAAAACTTCTAAGTAGGTACTTCTGAATAAATGGTTGACTAGTTATTGTTTGGCATAATATAAAATGGTCAATCATTTACCCTAAGTATGCATGAAACTGCCATCACTTGGTTGTAGCAGCTTCAACTCTGAAGTGTGAAATCATGTCAAGTGCTACATACAAAATGTAACAGTAGAACCTGGACATGTATCACCCCCTGAGTGGCACATACACTAGATGCGCGTACATCGCACACCATCTCCTGGGCCTCCTGCTGCACCCAGGTTAACAGGGTATGCCCTATGGTACCTGCAGCAGGCGGACCAGCAGAAGGTGCGAATAAACACCTTGTAGTGTACGTACCAATCAGGGGTGCGATTGGTGCGATACAGGTACCAGTCCTCCCCCCCCC